CCGCTTAGCTCGAGCCCTGCTAGGCTGCACCCTCCCCGGACCGACCTCGTCCTCAGACCTCTCGGCCCGACCGCACCCCGCTCCCTCCGTGCCCACCTCTGGGGAAACCCAGAAAGGTACACCGACTCCGCTGCAGTCCAAAAAACCAGAATAAGGACGCGCGACTTTGCTCAGGGTGCCCCTGCGTCCTTGCTCTTCCTTGCTCTGGCGTCCTTTGGGTCTTCGTCGTCCGCCGCCCCAAGAATCCCAACTTCGGCTTCCAAGGGTCTTGCGTCCTCACCGCGCGTCCCCATTAGGGTTTTTGACTGTACTCCCCGGACCTCTCCCGGGGTGCGTTCTGACCAGCATGTCGAGGCGCATCCAGCGGTGGCGACGAGGGCCTCCCAGCAACAGGGGAAATCGGGCCACGGGCAGAGGCATAGGGTACCTTGTCCTCCTCCTCCTCCTCCTCCTCCTCCTCCTCCTCCTCCTCCTCCTCCCCCTCCTCCTCCTCCTCCTCCGATCGCACCGAGTGTGGGTGGCACCGCCTCTCCTCGGCTGGCGGGCACCCGCCGGCTTCCCTGCCCGCGGAGGCGCGCCCCGTCGCTCTGCTCCAAACTCCGCCCGCTGGCCGCCGAGGCCGCGAGCGGCCGGCCTCTCGACGCCGGCAGCGAGCCCCTCGAGGTGCGGGCCACCCGCGGCCCGCACCGCCGCGGGACGGCATCGGAGCAGAGCGGGGCGGGCGTCGGCCCGAGCGGCCGCGCCGGCGCGATCGGCAGGAGGGAGGAGGGAGGAGGGAGGGGGGGGGGGGAGGGAGGGAGGGAGGGAGGGGGGGAAGAGGAGGAGGTGCGCGCGCTCGTGCCATATTTGGCATCCCACGCCTCCCACCCATCCCCTCCCACTGCGCGCATTTGTCTCCATCCGCTTATGGGTGTCCCAGCGGGCCGCTCCAGGATGCGCGGCAGCGCCCTGCAGGCTCCGGGCCGCGTCGGATCGCCAGGGCGGCGGCACCGGATCGGGTCGGGCCTGCCGGGATCGACATCGCATCGGATCGATCGGATCGGAATGGAGCCCGGTGGGTTGGGTGCCCTCTGAGAAGGTTGGCCCCCCTCCTCCGCACCAACGGGGCAACGCCAAGGGGGGTCACTAAGAGGGGGTGGTCGCCACTTATTCTCGGAAGCGCCATTTCTTCGAGGAAGCCGCAGCGGCGCACAACGAGAGATGCCAATTCCGACCACGACTGCTACCATAATGATGTGCAGCAGTTGCCGCGGCCAACGGTGCAAATGGAGGCGCACCAAAACAGCTACTACACCTTCCCAGACGGAGGCCAAGCGGGTGCAGAGGCCTCTGGGGCAAATCTACGAGTGGGACTGTGGTGGTTTTGGCCCACGCCTGGAGGAGGATAACCCGAGGTCTTTTTGGATCCCGCCCCCTTGTTTCTCTCGGCGGGGAATCAACTCTGCCACTCCTCCTCTTCCTCCTCCTCTTCCTCCTCCCAATCATTTTCCACTATTAGTGGGACCCCAGTCGGTCAATGAGGTCACCGAAAAGATAATAAGCTTCCCACCATTGGGGGGGGTCCGACGACCCATCGGGGAGATACACACGGACGACGAGGACGAGGACGCGGAAGGCGGAGGGGGGAATGTGGCCCACGTCTGGACGAGGACGAGGAGCACGGAGGAGAGGGGTGGAGAGGATTCAGGGGAGGAGCGGGGAGGAACGGGGCGGCGGGAGGCTCCCTACAGAGCAGACCGGCATTGGCGGAACCCTGACGCGCCAATGTCTCGCTTCGGAGCTACAAACCACGCGTGATAGGTCTGTGGCCCCACGCTCTGCCTGGCACACCTCCCGCACCCGATCTGCCCCCCCTCCTCTGGCCGCCCACCTCCTGCGACGTAACGTCCCTCCCTCGCTGCTCTTGTCCTCCGATCTCTCTGCTGCTGCTGCTTGCGGTGAGGGCAACGGGTGAGGAACCATGGGATAAGGAACCCAAGGTCTGGGAGCCAGCGAAACTCCCATCGCGGACTGGCCACGGAGATCACCGCCACCCTCACCAGATAAGGCACCGTCCAGGGTCTGGAGGCCTCCTAGATTGGGGTCCGAGTGGATGGGGTCGGAGGATTGGGTCACATCGACGATGCATCGGCGACCTCGGCGATGCATCGGCGACATCGGCGTGGAGAAAATCGAGCTCCACATCGAGCCGCATCGTCGATGCATCGGCGATTCGGAGCACTCCTTCGACCCCATCTGCTCGGACCCCATTTGGGAGGCCTCCTCCTCCTCCCTCGCCTTCTCCTCCCCCTCCTCCTCCACCTCTCCCTCCTCCTCCGCCGCCTCCTCCTCCACCTCCTCCGCCTCCTCCTCCTCCTCCGCCTCCTCCTCCTCCTCGCACGTGGATGCGCAACCGGGATCCACGTGCGCGGAGGAGGAGGAGGCGGAGGAGGAGGAGGAGGCGGAGGAGGAGGAGGAGGCGGAGAAGGAGGCGCCTGTTCCTCCTCCTCCTCCTCCTCCTCCTCCTCCTCCTCCGCCTCCTCCTCCTCCCAGAGGGTCCGAAGCCTCCCGCGCACATCTCCTCCTCACGGCCGCCCCCCACCGTGCATCGCGGACCGGGGCCGCCCTCGAGGCCGCGGCGGCCCTCCCCTCTTGGCGTCGTTCGCCCTCCTCTCGCCGGGCGCCCCCCGGGAGGCCTCCTCTCAAGCTGCCACGGCTGGGGCGGCGCCTCGAGGCGCCACGTCCGGACAGGGCGCCCCTGGGAGGGGTCCCTAGGGGACCGCTGCGGGGCGCAGGCTGGGCCAGGCGGGAGGGCCGTTGTCTCCACTGGCCCTCCTCCGACGGCAGTCCCCTCCTCTGGCGGCGAGCGAGGGGGGGGAGGAAAGGTTTAGAGGGAGAGGGCCCTTCTCGGGAGAGAAAGGCAGTCCCCCGGCCTGCGGAGGAGTGTGCCAAGCCTTCCCCGGAGGCGGAGACGCCTTCTCAGCAGGCGCGAGGGCTTCTGAGAAGTCCCGCCGCCTTCTGAGAAGGCCTTCTCCTTCTCATTTCCCCCCCTCGCTCACCGCAGACTCATTCCACCTTCTTCATCTGCTGTCAAGGCCCCCTGGCGACTTGCCTGCACACCGGGTGCTTGGCGAACACCAAGTCGCTGCAGCCCGGGCAGATCCAGTCGCCAGGCAGCGCGGGCTGCGCGCGCACAGAACACGCAACAACTGAAAGCAGGAAGGAGGCAAACGTGGACGTACGCAGGAGAACAGAAGCCAGAACCTCGAGCGATAATCTGCATAAGCGCGCGGAGTCGGCATGAGAGAACGCATAACGTAGCACAAAATGGCTTAGATCGCCGATCGCGATATAAACTCGATGCACAGCTTTTTCGACGCTCCACCCAAAGGCACCCTCAATTGGATGGCTCGCGCGGAAGGCTGAAGACAACAAATCCAGACACCACCGCCACGTCCAGCGAAATAAAACAAGTGGCACACATCATAGTTCAGTCGATGCTGTGTTTATTGCCACGAAATACAAGTCACCATGAGCGCCTCTTAACCAAGATGGCATATTTCTTTCTGTGGGGTCAAATCCACCCCTCACCTGACAAAAAGCTTGCTCACTACCGCCGATGGAACTATCGAATATTTGAGGGCCCCACATGGTCCCTTGGAGCTCCCGGCAACCTCCAGGAGCTTTTGGGAGCACGGGTGAGCCAAGGACCTACTAGGACACCTCAAGACACCAACGGAGACCCTTAAAGAGTCTGGAAGAATGGAAAGACGATACAGAATTCGAAAAGATATGAATCACCTCGGTCTGTCGGGGGGGCGGGGCACATGAAAGCGTTTCTCCAACTCCCCAAAACCTCTGGGCTCCATTACCCTTACTGTCAGACCGTCCCGAATAACCCAGCCCTGGACATTAGGGCCGCCTGGTGATACGTTCTGCGCTCTCACAGGCCTTCGGATATCCAAATTCAAATGTCTGACCGCACGCTCATGCCGAGAAAGAACAGAACGACGTGCTTGGACGAGGCCCAGCGAACTGAGGGGGCGAATCGAAGTAACGCCTAGTGTGAATCGAACAGGGCAATATCGAAAGGGTGGTAGGGGAAGACGGGAAGGGGAGGATCAAAGATAATATAATCTTGCATCCCATGCACCATCACTGGGCCAATCCTGCACGTATTTTCTCAAGGCGCTAAACGCCTCATGAATAATGTGGCGATGCTCTGCTTTCCAATCTTCGAGAACTGAAGCTGGTACGGTAGCAGAGCTCGTGTTTCGAACCCCGCCCGCTCCATGTCTTCATAACAAGTTTGTATCACACTGCCTACGTTGCTACCATACTGCTTCTTATCCTTGGGAGCTTGCCCAACTTTTTCAAAACGCCAGAAACGTACGCACGGAACGCTGCTGCACAATACTGTTGCCGCTGGGGTGATGACAGCTTCAGCTGGCCTACTTCGTTGATCAATTGCTCACTCGGCTTCCATTGGTGCGTGACAAATGCCGATCCAGCACCCCCCTCACACAGCTGCCCCCCTGAAACAATGCGAAATGTCTCCCTCTTGCCTGTAGCGGGACTCCATCTTGCCTGTAGCGGGAATCCAAATCCGCCGACCCCGTCGGTGTGTGGAAGAGGCTTTTCCGTTTGACTCGTCGTCGTCGTCGTCGCGGTCGTTGTCGTCGTCGAGCGCGCCAGCCACAGCGAAATTGAGCAACGTTGTGATGGAGTCGAAGGGAAGCCCCTCCCCTTTGATCCCTTCCCTGCCAGGGGGGGGGGGCCAAGGAAGTCCCGGAGAAGTCCCGGGGAAGATGCGACTCCCCCCTGGGCGGTTCGGGGGCCCAGAAAAGCCCCAAGACGCGGCAAAAATGCCCCCAAGATGCCCCCAAGACGACCATCGAGGGCCCCGAATCGCCGAAAGATCGGTTCAAGTCACCAAAGTAGCCTCCAGACGGCTCAAAAGGTTTCCAAAACATCCTACGAGGCCTCCAAAAGGACTTCAAAGAGGGCACCAAGGAACAAAAATCATCGATCTCCCTTAGCTTTTTGAAAGATTTCGGCATTCTCGCCCTGTCAGCTTCCCGACGCTCCAAGACAGGCCAAGAGGCCCCCAAGACTGCCCCAAGATGCCCCAAGAGGGGTCCAAGAGAGCCCCGAAACGACCCAAGAGGGCCCCAAGACCGTCCAAGAGGCCTCCAAGAAAATCGAAGAGGGTCCCACGACGGTTGTAAGAGGGAGCCCAGACGGAGGACCCGAACGGACATTTCGAGCCCTCGGCTTGAGAAGCTCTCAGGAGACCCCCAGAGGCCCCTAAGAAGCCCCCCAAGAAGCCCCCAAAGGCCCCCAAGAGGCCTCCAGGAAGCCCCAAGAGGCCTCCACGAGGCTCCCAAGCGGCCCCCAAGAGCTTCCCAAGAGGCCCCCAAAGTACCCCCAGGAGGCCCCCTAGAGCTTCGTCGTTTTGGTCGTGGTTGTCGCCGCCATGCAGGGTCGGCGGCACCGGCCGTAAGGCCTTCGCAATACTTTGGTTAATGCTGAAACCCAGCGTAGTTTGAAGCGGCAAGTATTGGTAGGAGTCACGCATCACGTGCACGCCAAGGATGTTACTCAGATACATCGCCTCCTCATCTACACCAGGCCACCCTGGTCCAATTACATGATCGCCAGTACCGTAAAACACATTAAGGTCGACGTGGGTGCGGATAAAATCTTGTACTGCACGAAGCGGGTCATTCAACGGGACTGCCGGATTGTTGTTGTAACGCTCCTCCACCTCAAGTGTGTGAAGGACATCTCTCTTCTTGCATCTGCCACACGCGTCCCCGCTATACTCAAACACATGCAGCCCATCAAGCCATCTGTGTAGACATGCGCCACAATGCCTCTGGCACGCTGAAGTGCGACCCCCGAATTGTTTTGCACACCTTTAGCCACCAAGCGTTGTCCGAGAACCACCCCAAAACAACCCGACGACACAAACAATTCAACATGTTCCCAGGCGGTTCCGTGAGGCCTTGGGGATGCCCTCGATAAACATCCTCGGAGAGCTCCATCGAGACCTGTAAAGGACACACTCACACACACTTGCTGCTCCGAGCGATCCCACCAACGAGCTTCAGTAAATACCAATGTATACTATGAATGTACGTAGGCCCTTGAAGTGTGTGTATTGCTGTTACATGTTAGTGATGACTTCTCTTGGTGTCTGGTCTAGATGCCTGTTATTGGCGTCTGCTCTTTGTCAGTGCTCCTGGCGTGGGATATGAATTTACGCGCTTGAGGTATGGCCTTGTTTGATCATATGTGTCTGTTGTTGATGTATAGTACGAGTGGCGTATGTGTTTCGTGGCTGCTGTTGGCGTGTATGGTGGGTGTATGCTATCGCGCGTGTGTTGCGAATGTATGCCCTGGGTATCCGTGTACTTGCTGTATGTGGCTGATGCATGTTTTCGGTGGCCGCCGACGGCGGGCAACGGTGCTCGGTATTGAAACACGCAGTCGGTGTCCACTATCCACGCCTGTTCTGGGCGTCGGATACTGATGTCTGGCGCCGGTGAATTTTATTTCCCCAACCGATGTTGCACTGCGGATTCTTCCTTTGGCTGCGTCAAGGTGATTGGTTGGCATTCCGGCTCTTCGCCACGCTGCGGTCCGCGCCGCCTCGTGGGCGCCTCGTCGGCGCCCCGCGCCTGGGGGGGCATGCCGAGGCTGCGCCACGTTGCCGCCCGTGCCGCCTCGTGGGCGCCCCGTGGGCGCCGGGGGAGGCCAGGGGCATGCCTCAAAGCATGCCGAGGCGACGCCGCGTGGCCGCCTGGGGGCGTCTCGAGGGCGCCCCGTGCTCGGAGCTTACACGACGGAGCTTGCACCACAGGGCTTGCACCACATGGTTTGCACCGCACAGATTGCACAGCCCAGCTTGCAACAGGTAGCTTATACCCCATAGCGCGCATCAGATACACCGCATACTTTCTATCTCCTGAGCTCACACAACATAGCTTACACGACGCAGACTTCACAAGATAGCTCATAAAGCATCGCGTTCACCTCCACAATCTGATAATGCACTGTTTGGGGACCAATGCTGGATATACTTTGTGTTACGGATATGGATGTATGCTAGCATTTACTAGTGGTGTGCGTTACCGCTGTGCTAGCGGTGTATGTGTTTGATGTCTGATGTAAGTATATGCCACTGGTGCAGGTAACTTACGTGAAGTTCTCATGCCTGGGACTGATGTATGTTCTTGGGCAATGATATTGGTGCATGCTCTGCTGCCTGTTCTTGGTTCCCGAGATGCCAGATGGGGGTCCCGATGTCTTCCCAATCGCGACGCAACCGCGCTCCCCTCCTCCTCCTCCTCCTCCTCCTCATCATCATGATCATCATCATCATCATCATCATCATCATGGTCCTCATCACAATCATCATCATCATCACCATCATCATCACCATCATGATCACCAGCATCATCACCACCACCACCATCATCATCACCATCATCATCATCACCGCCATCATCATCATCACCATCGTCATCATCACCATCATCATCACAATCATCCTCATCATCTTCATCACCGCCATCATCATCATCATCACCATCATCATCATCATCATCACCATCATCATCATCAGCATCATCATCTTCGTCATCCTCATCTTCACCATCATCAGCATCATCATCACCATCATCATCACCATCATCATCACCATCAGCATCATCACCATTATCATCATCATCATCACCATCATCACCATCATCATCACCATCATCATCATCATCATCACCATGACCATCATCGCCATCATCATCATCATCATCACCATCATCATCATCACCATCATCACCACCATCATCATCACCATCATCACCATCATCATCATCATCATCATCACCATCACCATCATCATCATCGCCATCATCATCACCATCATCACCATCATCATTACCATCATCATCATCATCATCATCATCATCATCATCACCATCATCATCATCATCATCATCATCATTATCATCACCACCACCACCATCACCATCATCATCATCATCATCATCATCATCATCATCATCCTCATCCTCCGCCCCCTCCTCTCACCCCCCTCTTGCCTTCGCAGGGCGTGGCAGGCGCTGCCATTCCTCACCACCAGAAGGGGGTGCGCAGAAGGCGGCTCCTCTAGCTGGCCCGCGCTCGCAAGGTGTGGCGGGCGTGGCATTTCTTCGACCCTGCAGGGCGTGCGCACGGGGTGGTCCCTTAGCGCGGTCTCTAACCGTGTCACGTCTGCCCCGCTCGGCCTGGGCGGCGCGCACAAGGGCGTAGGGGGAGGGGGGAAGGCCTCTTCGAAGCAAGCCGCTTCTTAGAAGGCGGCGGCCTCACATCTACAGACAAGGACCGCGCCTTCTAAGAAGTCGGGGAGCTTCTAGGAAGCATTCCCCTCTCCCCCTACCCCCGTCTGCGCGTGGCCGACGGCCCCTGCCACGTATCTGCTCCGCGGCGACAACGGACGTCAACGCGGTCGGTCCGCCCGCGGGCCGCGCCGGGCAGAGACACACTGGACGAGCGAAATCCCGCTCGGCCTCCACCCCACTTTCTCCACTCCCGAGCCGGTCAACGGCATGAACTCGACGCTCGCCTGGTACGGCTTCAACGAGCGAGTGCACGCGCAAGCGTCGAAGCGGATTTGGAGACAAGCAGCTACTTGGCCGAACAGTGGCCGGACGTGGAAATGGACGCCGCCAGCGCGCTATATCCTGGGGGGAGGCAGGGGCGGCCCCAGAGCTCCCTGGCCCATGGCTCGGCTCAAGGCGACGCCCTTGGCCACAGCCTCTCGACTCCCGAAAGGGGGGTGCGCAGAGGGGGGGTCCCTGAGCTCCCTGGCCCCGCCGCCCGACCCAACACGGCGCCCTCCCGCTCTGCCCCTGCCACGGCTTTGGTGCGCCAGGAGGGCCCTGGAGGTCCGTGGCTCACCGCCCGACCCAGCACGACGCTCTCCCGCTCGCCCCCTGCCCCGCCGCATTGGAGTCCCGAAACGGTGCGGTGACAGACCGCGCGGTGACCTCGAAATCCCCCAAGACCCCACCGCACGGTCCGTCACCGCACGGTCTTGGGACCCCAGAGGCCCCTGTCGCCCGAGACATCCTCGGAGAACGACCCAAGTCCCAAAACCGTGCGGTGACCCCGAATCCCCACCGACTCACCACACGGTGTGGTCACCACCCCGTTTGGGGACCCCCGAGCCGCCTCCACTCCTAGAAGCAGATGCCCGGAGACGGAGGTGTGCCAAGGTGGTCCCCGAGCTTCCCGGCTGACCGTCCGACCCAGCACGGCGCCCGGGTGCGCCTGCAGCCGCCGAGCTCGGCGCGCTGGCCTCTCCTCCACCTCTCCATCCCTTCCCCCCTCCCCGGGGATCTAGGTCAGTCGGGCTTTGAAGGCTCCCGCAGGATCCTGCACGCTGGCCCGGATCAATGCGACCCTGGCTCCGCAGGACGCTGCAAGATCCGGCGCTCTGGCCGACCCCCTTTGCATTGGCCTCCATCTCTTGAGCCCCGACCTCCTCCCCACCTGCTGCGCCGCCAGCCTCCTGCCATTCCTCATCCTCCCACCACTCCCTCCTGCCTCCCCCGCCCCCCCATCCTCCTCCAGACCCTCCACACGTCTCCAGCTTTCCCCCTCCACCCTTCCCGCCCAGCAGCACCTGAACTCGGCCAGGAACAACTCGGCCAGGCTGAACTCGCAGGCCGAACTCGGCCAGTCTGAACTCGGCCAGCCTGGCCTGGGCCGAGTTCAGCCTGGCCGAGTTCAGCCTGGCCGAGCTTCGCCTGGCCGAATATTTCCCTTGTCTTCCTGCCCATACTCCCCCAGAGATCCGACGATGTAAAACATGACAACATCGCAGACAATCACGACCAGAGACCTAGAACCCACCTTTATGCGCCATTCTTCGAGCCTGAACGATCTGTGAGGGCCCTGGGCCCGAAATCTAGCAAAAAAGCCAATGGTGAACAAATTGCAACGCCCGGATCTTCAGCCGATTTCCCCATCAGCCCATCCTAACGCGGGGCAAGACGACTGCGATGGCGGCAGGCACGTCTGACGTCTCCGCGCTGTTTCGCGAGGCGCCTTGTGAACGAAGGCCGCCTGCTGCGGGACGACGTCGAGGCCTGCTGCTGGGTTTTCCCCGCCCTTCATCCTGATCCTGCTCCTGCTGCTGCTCCCGCTGCTACTGCTCCCCCTCGTGCTCGTTCCCTCCTCCTCATCCTCCTCCTCTTCCTCTTCCTCCTCCTCCTCCTCCTCCTCCTCCTCCTCCTCCTCCTCCTTCTCTTCCTCCTGTTTCCTGTTCCCTGGTGGCATGAGTGCTCCGCACGCTGCCCCTCTCCTCCTCCTCCTCCTCCTCCTCCTCCTCCTCCTCCTCCTCCTCTTCCTCCTCCTCTCCTCCTCACCTTCCTCATCCTCCTCCTCTCCTTCTCTCCTCATGATCCTCCTCTTCCTCCTCCTCCTCCTCCTCCCTCTCCTCCTTCCTCCTCCTCTCCTCCTCATGATCCTCCTCCTCCTCCTTCTCCTCCTCCTCCCCTCCTTTCCTCCTCCTCGTTTCTCTTCCTCCGCGGAACCTCCTCCCTCGAGCCCGCATCCCTCCTCGTTTCTTCCTCCTCGCTTCTCCTCCTCCCCACTCCTCGCCCGCTCGATGCTGCGCCGCCCTCCTTGCACCCGCTGCTTCCTCTCAGGCCGCCCCTGCTGCTGCTGCTGCTGCTGTTGCTGCTGCTGGTGCTGCTACTGCGGCCCCCGTTCTTCCTCGACCTCCTGGGCACCCCCCCTCTGGCCAGGCCCGCGCTGCAGCTCCGGCGGGCGACGCCGCACGCGACGGCGCCACCGAGGGACGAAGGGCAACGGGCCCCACACGAGATGCGGCGCCGCGCCCAGGGGGGCAGTGAGAAGGGCCAGCTGCCGCGTTCGACAATTCAATTATGGGGATCGACTACAGAATGTATTCACCCCAACATTGCTTTTTTTCCGCCGAATCTACGGATAAATACGTATAATGCTCCGCAGAACCACGGAGCATTCTATGTACCATTTGTGTTCGACGAGGAAATCAACTTTGTGTCGATCTCCTACTCGAACAAGGAGTGACGACAATCAACTGGCCTCACGCGAGATGCGGCGCCGCGCCCGGGGGCCGCGCGCGTACCGCCCAGCACCAGCGCGAAACACAGCCTATCACGCACCAGCCACGACCGACGAGCACCTCCAACATTTGGACAACAACCGGCGACAGCAACACGTGCTTGCGCACACCAGACACGCACATACACACATCTTTATGCGCCAACAGGCTGTTACCCACAACGACCACCGACATACGGCTGCTTAGAACCACCGAGTGCACGTGCACCCGCTCGGACTTCAATATCATTTACGTACATGTAGACATACACACATCCGAGATGTATACAATAACATGACATATATAATATGTATGCACACAGATTCCGATACTTACATCGTGCGCACATGTATGAAATTTATAAGATCCGAGCGGGTGCACGTGCACCTGGTGGTTCTAAACAACCGTATGTCGGTGGCCGTTGCGGGTGACAGCCTGTTGGCGCATGAAGGTGTGTGTGTGTGTGTGCGTGTCTGGTGTGCGCAAGCGTGTGTTGCTGTCGTCCGTTGTTGTCCAAATGTTGGAGGTGCTCGTCGGTCTTGGCTGGTGCGTGATAGGCTGTGTGTTCGCGTTGGTGCTGGCCGGTACACTGTACCAGCAGGTGTCGCGAAGTTTTGTGCGATTCGTGGTGGAGGTCATGCTAGTTTGTGCGATGCCTCCTGTAGATGGTCAGGTTCGGCGCGGTGTATATCGCTTTCGGCGTGTGTTCGAGGTGCGTGCAACGTCCCAGCTTTGTGCGACATTGACGTTGCGTAGCACGGAGGCCGTATACTGAATCACGGCAAATCAATCGTCGTACTCGCAGTGGTCTTGGCAAACAGCTTGGGCCACCATTTTCAAGACTGCGGGTTTCATGTAAAGCGGAGTCGTTAACGACACAAACGCAACACTGTGCTTGTTGATAATTCGCTGGACTGCGTTCGATGCTGACGACATTAAGTTGCTGCACTACATCAGCGCAGCCCCTGCGAACACCGTCCAGTCTCACTCTGAATCCCCCCCTCCCTCTCTCGTTGCCCTCCCACTCATTTCCCCTCTCGCCATCCCTCTACTCTTCTTCCCTCTGTCCCCCTCCCCTCCCTCTCTCCCTCCCTCCCTCCCGTCTCTCGCTCAGCGCAAGTCCGCTCGCGGCTTGCTTGCTAGATCGACCCCCAGCATAACTTGGGTCCCATGGCCACGAAAACGACCCTGTATGTAGTCGACTGGCCGAGCAACGAGGAAGACAACGTTCGCGTCTCGGCTGAAAACGGCGCCTGGTCGGAGGACGACAACGACCTGGGCGAGGACCACTTTTACGGGGACACTGGACTAGATGAGGAGAGAAAGAATGCTCTCCTGCTAATTATCACCATCACCTATGACATGGCCAACTATCCGGGCGGTTGCGCACATGGATTCGATCAGGGAGACTTCTGATGCCCTGGTCGCCAAGATCGCTTCCCGGCCCGTGGCTCCTCCTTCTCCTGATCCCCATCCTCCCACTCCTGTGCTCATCATGTTCATCCTCCTATGGGGACCGCGCGTATGTGCACCAGTGTATCTGGGCCCTGCCCCATGGGGCTTGGCAGGAACGCCGCAGGACAACGTGTGGTGTACATTTATCCGGCCGGTTGCCGAGGCGACAGGTGCGCAGCACAAGTGCAGTACATCTGTGGTTGGGCCGCCATGTGCCACTACGGGGTGCACAGCACATAATTAACATGGCATGGTGGACATGCTCCTGATCCCGATCCCACTCTCCAGCCCTGGGAGCAGCTCTCCTCGGAGCGGGCGCCGGAGACGACACCTGGCCCTGTTGGCCCCTCTGGGGGCGGGCGCGCATTTACTCCCTGCTCCGTGCCACACGACGACCTGGCTCTCCGGGGTGACCCCAGGCCTCCCGGCCAGCAGCGAGCTCTGCCCCCAGACCCCCTCGCGTCGTGAATGAATCGATCGTGACGGGAGGTCTCTCGCTGTTTTCGGCCTCTGGTCGGGCGTTGGCAGGACTGGGTTTAGTGGGACCTGGTTTAGAGATGTGTACGGGGGGACGCCCCCCCCGCCCCATTCCACTAATCGGAACTGCCGTCACCCGAAAAAACACCAGCTGCGGCAGACCTGGTTCAGTAATGCTGGCCAAACTGCGGGCTCCGGGGCCCCATACTTCTAACCGGGTCCCCTTACCTGGGGTCCTGGGTCCCGGCTGTACCCAGACCCCCGACGTCGCGTGTTTTTTTCGCAACGTCGAGCCCCAGAGGTCCGGACCCCTTCCAGGGGACCGGTTTTTCGTCCTGAGTCGTTTTTTGACGGTCCCGATGCCCGGGAAGGGCCCCCGGAGCCCGAAAGTAGCCAAAAACCTCCCGTCGTGATTTTTTCACGACGCGAGGAGGTCTGGGCTACCCGATCTGCGGGCCTTTCCCGGGCCCCCGGAACGTCACGCAACGACTCGGAAGAAAGCACTGGTCCTCCGGGAAGGGGCCCAGTGGCTCCCGTGGGGGTCCCGAAGCACAGGAAAGCCACGGCGTCGGTGGCCTGGGCCTGTCCAGCAGCCAGCCCCGTCCCCCAGGAGGAGGAGGAGGGCAACTAAGGAGGATGAGGAAGAGGAGGAGGAGGAGGAGGAGGAGGAGGAGGAGGAGGAGGAGGAGGAGGAGGAGGAGAAGGACAACTAAGGAGGAGGAGGAGGAGGAGGAGGAGGAGGAGGAGGAGGAGGAGGAGGAGGAGGGCCCCAGACCCCCGACGTCATGAACTTGTCCTCACGTCGACCCCTATAGGCCTCGACCCCTTCCCCAGGACCTGGGTTTCCTCCCGAGTCGTTCTTCCTGACGGCCCCGAGGCCCGGCGAGGGCCCCCAGAGGCCGCAAGCGGCGAAAGACCTCCGGTACCGTGATTTTCTGTTCATGGCCCGCGAGGGGCCTGGGCCCCGGGCCCCCTGCTTCCGGAGCGTCGCACGCGAGGCCTCTCGACCGCCGCCGCCACCGCCGCCGGCGCCGCCGCCGCCCCCGCGCGGGGCAAGGCGCCTGCGCCCTCGGGCTTCGGGCCCCCGCAGCGCCTGCACTCCGTCCTGTTGGCGTACCTGCCCCGGGAGGGGAGCGCCCCCCGGGGGTCGCCCCGACGCGGCGGCGAGGGCCGCACGCGAGGACGAGGGCGGCGTCCCCAGGCCCCCTCCGCGTCGTGAACAAAAATCGCCGCGGGAGGCGCCTCGCCGTTTTCGGCCTCATGGGGGCCCCTGCCGGGCCTCGGGACCGTCCACAGAAACGACTCGAGAGGAACATCTGGTCCAGGGGAAGGGGCCGAGACCTCTGGGGGGGCCTCGACGCCACGAACAAATCACGACGTCGGGGATCTGGGAGGGTCGCACCGACGCGGCGGCGAGCACAGCACACGACGACGAGGGCGGCGCTGGCAGCGTGCGCCGGCGGCGCGGCCACGGGGACGGCGAGGACGACGGCGGCGCCGACGACGGCTCCCGCAGCGCAGGCGCTCGTGCCTGCCTCGGCGCGGGTGCCGCGGCGATGCAGCCGCAAAAAAAAGGGTGGCAAGCGGGGCCCGGCGCGCGACGGCAGGCTCGACGACGACGACGACGACGACGACGACGACGACGACGACGACGACGACGACGACGACGACGACGACGACGACGACGACGACGAGGGGGGGTGTTGGCGACGATGAGGGCGGTAACGAGCACGTTCGGCGAGGGCGACCACGATCGGCTACAGCGGGACCTCCAGGCCAGAAGAGCATCCCTCAAGAACATGAGACCCTCCGCCAACCAGAACAAACAGAACATCTACGGGTACCCTCCCCAGGATGCACTGGATCATCCAATAAACACGAATAACACTAGGTACCCTTCCCTAACCGACCTCGATCATATATCTCTGTCCGACTGTAGCTGGTACGAGGTCAGCGACGGCGATGGAAGCGATGACGGCGGCGGCGGCGGCGGTGGCGACGAGGACAAGGAAGTCGGAGGACTGGGAAGGGCCCAGAAGGCCTCGGCAGGAGGAGTGGGGGAATGGGCGAGGAATGCCGGAATCTCAAAAACTTCGGAGTGGATATGAGTGTGATGGCGGCGAGGTCCGCAAGCCCGCCGCAGGCGCCAATTTTTCCACGTAGAGCAACGAGCACGCCGCGGGTGGCGGGTGGGTCGCGGGCGGGTCACGGGCCAGGACGACGACGACGACGACAACAACAATCATTTTAAGACTGTTCGCTCCTGTCTGCTCGCGTGCCATTCAACACGTAAATTCCAAACCCTCTGTACCTGCCCTCTTCGTCTTCGATCGTACCCGATTGGTGGTATGTTTTCCTTAGCTGCCACGTGCATTTAGCGCAGCCCCTTCAAACAGGGGAAGAGAGGACGGATGGAAGGGGGAGGGATAAGGATGGAGCACGAGAGAAATTAGCAGAAGGGGGCTAGGAGCAGAAACGACGCGGTAGAACCAGACAGGCAGATCGGGCCGCCAGATCCTAGCGGGCGAGTCGGGAAGGCGGGCCCAGGCGGCCAGGTCGAGCAGGCGGGTTGCTGTAGCGCGAGGCCTGCATGACTCGCGAGGCAGTCTCGAGCGATAGCGCGATTCCCAAGTGAACCATTACAAAAACCAAAGCGAGAGCGTGATCCCTGAGTGTCGAGGGCGCGGCGTCTGAATACAGAATGAGGAAATCCCACGCGAGAGCGTGATTCTTGCATGCATTGTGAGGAAGTTCCGCGCGAGAGCGCGATTTCGAAGAACATCGTGAGGAAATATCCGGCTGAGAGCCGTTGTTGTTGTAGGTCGGGGGCCCGGGGCCCAGTTGGGGCACCAAGACTTTCCCTGGTAGAAAACAAGGTGCGAGCCCCGAGGGGGGGCACATTAATGGAAAAAAACACACACTGCGCACCGGTGGGGGGATCAACAATACTTATCCTTCGAGCAAACAACGGCAATGAGAGCAACAACGCAAACAATCATCATCACACCAAGAGCAAGCAACAGCAACAACAACAAACACATACCATACAAACAAGTGTGAGCCTCACCGCAAGCGCCCACTTCAGGCACGCACACAGAGATGGCGTAAGACCGTTCGGCCCCATCGTCCAGATTTTGCTTCCAGCGACTCCGACCAGGGGGTTGGCATCGCTCGAAGCAAAACCTGTCGTCGTCCACACGTCGTGTAGTGTTATCTTCCCGCGGACGCATGGGCCTGGAGACCCCGACCGCACCCCGCGGTGACTGGCGCTCTCCGTCGCTGATCTCGGCTTGCCGATGCCGACGGCCCACGGGAAGCTGCCCCAAAGGCGACAAAGCCCGCCGTGGACTCGATCGCGGCCCTGGAGGTCTGGGCCCAGCTGCTTTCGCTCAGAGTCGGTCCCTCGCCGTCCTCCTCCTCCTCCTCCTCCTCCCTCCTCCTCCTCCTCCTCCTCCTCCTCCTCCTCCTCCTGCTCCTCCTCCTCCTCCTCCCTCCTCCTCCCTCCTCTTCCCTCCTCCTCCCTCGTCCCCCCCTCTCCCCCTCCCTCCTCCTTCTGCCTACTCTTCCTTTCTCCCCCTCCCTCCTCCTTCGGGAAGGGCAGAACGCTGAGTGCAGTCGACGTCATGAGCCCCTACGTCGTCGTTTTTTTTGTTCGGAGCAGCACGCTGTTCGCGAGCGAAGACGAGATAGCCACCGTCGACGAGAACCTCAAACTGCTCTCACGGACCCTCCAACGGGAACGGCGCTGGCACCTTCGCACACACAGAAAAACCCTCCTGGCGGAAACCGACACGCGGTGAAGCCAGCAGCGGACGGCGGAAACGATGAAAATAGCCAGACGAGCGGCCAGGCGCAGATTTTGGACCTGAGGGGCGGGGCGCTCTCGCCTGGCAGGAAATCGTTCGCTGCCCACTTCACAGGGGCGGCTCTCTCTATCTGGGAAAAACAAATTATGGAGGGAGGCATGTCGGCGAAGGAGATGGAGTGGGATGCCTGGCGGGGGCAGATGGAGGAGAAGGAGGAGCTCGAAGATGATGGTGGCCCCGAACTGGCGGAGCTGACTAAGCAAGACCCAGCCGCCCTCCGTAAATGTGTACTGTGCGCTCCCAAACGACGAGCCGTTCCCGAAGGCACCTGCCCGCTCGAGCTCTTTCTTGCATGCTGCTCTTTTACATGCTACTTTTCGCGGTTTGAACCTTGGCAGTAAAGCAGCGGCCCCGAATATTCCACGGTTCTGGTTGCATCTGCTAGCTGTCCCCCATCAACTTTGCAAGCATCAAGCAGCACCACGTTACTGGCATCGCACTGCGGCAGCAGCTTTGTATGAACATGTTCAATCTGTGTCTCTTCGTGAGCGTGCTATACACGTAGTAGCCATCCCTGGTGAAGGCTCCTATGTTCAGTATCTACATCAGGCTCCCACACTTGCCGACCACGGAAACTGCAGTATACATTGCACTGAACACGTCGTGGAGATTCAGGTACGTGTGCCGAACCCATGCATGGTGCCTAAAAGACATGCCGAACGCGTTCTCCAGGAGTGCCTACGATGCGATGTGATACGGTTGATTTCCATAGTGATGATCATGATGGCGCTCTCTGCCTTCCTACGTTTCGAGAATTCGGTGGTGGGCCTCCCATCGTGCGGCGGTGAGTTGATGCCGGAGCCGTCCAAGTGGGGACGATGGGGGACCCTTGCGGTGTCTCGATGTTCCTCGCCAATTCTTGGAGATTTGTAACATGCTGGGGGTGGGACCTTATGTATTTAGGCCGGTGTGCTGGCGAACTTTTTCCCACTCGGGGAGCTCTACGATCGGGTCTACCTCTACGTAAACATGCCAGCGATCTGAACAAAACGTTGCTGACGAACTTTTACTCGAGGTTGTCTGAGTTTTTGTCTAAGCTTAGCAAGGTGGATTCTAATATCAGCTCGCGCCTAGAGGATTACGCTTATGGACAGAATCTTGAGGCAGGAATTCTTTTCTACTTCAGCAACCGAAGCACTCGGAGTAAGCAGAACCCTCGGTCAAGACGTCATGAATTGCACGGGAGTGCTAAGGACGTAATCAGTTCGTTGCCTCAGACCGTATTTGACGATGAGTGCCAAGACCGCCCAGGAAACTACTCCTTGTACCCAGGCCTCACGTATTTTGTTCTTCAGCTTGGATGGGATATGGGGTCTCCGGCTTCGCTATAAGTTGAGCGACATCGTCTGCTCGGATGTGCGCAGGCCACACAATTAAGTGGCATGGAAGCATTTGTCTTGTGGCCACGGGACTATGTACGACTCGGTCACGGGTTCGCAATATGGGGTAGTGGGCTCTGGGCAGGAGAGCTTCGCATGCAAATGAGGACGGGAACGTTCGCTGTTTATCTACCGCTCAGATCCTCTGGCACTGGAAAGTCGCACCCTGCACGTTAGAGATGCGCATTCGGAGGCTACCGATGTACCAAGCATGGGCCAAAGTTCCTGCTCTGCACGCTCAAAAGCTTTGCTTCCTGTTCGGGTCTACGGAGGCGGACCGCTTGCATTAACAGTTGCTGGGAGGGTTGCCAAATCAATATTCTTCTCCGTGGGTTCAGCAGATTCACGTGGACCTGTGACAAAGGCGGATGGTTCGGATATGGAGACCACGGAGGAAGTGGCAGGGGGCTTGAGGATCCTGGGGGACACGGAGAGGGCGGATAAGCTTGTGAACGAAGACGTGACTGAGCTTCGCACTTTACACGTATCCCGAAGGGTAACCCCTCAAGGTTTTGTCGGTAACGACCCTGGTCATGGGTCTGCTTCTGACTTGGAGGAGGCGGGGGAGCTGGACGTTCTCTGTGGGCTGTCTGTCAACAGCAAGTCGGGACCATCCTCTCAGCCAGCCCAGGGCATTGAGACGGCCATGTGTAAGACTGCGCACAAATATCGCCGCGAACCGATGAACCACTACCGCAAGGTGCATCACATTCGGGACCTCTGTCACGTGTTGACGCCCTCGAATGTATGTATCCACTGCCAATCGGTTCCCAGATGCTCCTCGAATGCTGCTCTTCACTGCAGAGGGTCCTTGAGGCGAGGTCACTGTTGTACGGCGGGCCCTGCTTCGCTGAAGACGATCGCAGAGCCTCCAGCTTCGCTGGCGTGTCAGATCTGTCCTCATGTTGGCTCAAGCCTCGATAACACATGTCCGAAACTCTGCACGCGCCTCCCATACAGCACCAGCAGCTCGCTCGAAGTGAAGACCATGAGCGCTGCTAGCTCGGGGAAAGTCCAGACGGCTGGCTGGTACGCCGAGGGCCCGAAGCGCATGCGCGGCGACAGCGTGGTCGAGGGCAGGGGGGCGGCCGAAGGACGCTCGTCGCGGCGGCGGCGGCCAGAAGGAGGATCAGTTCCAGTATGAGCAAGTGATGAACATGATGGGCAAGTCGCTTCTCACCAGCGTGCGCGAGGCGGCGGAGACCTCCGCCACCGCCTTCTGCAAATACGGCGCGGGCATGGGCGCAGGGTTGGTGGCGGCGTGCACCGCGGATGGCAAGAGTTACGACGAACACGATCAATACCTGGGCGAGCTCGCCTTGACCTGGGAGGTCGACTTCAAGAGCCGCGGACCTCCCCCCCCTTACGCACACACACACACACACACGCACACACGCACACACGCACACACACAGAGACACACACACACACACACATCGTGCTGGCGGCCATCGAATACGGGGCGACGCACACGATCGCGGACGGCAAGGACAACGACGAGGAGATGACCTGCAGGAGCAGTTCAAGTCCTGCCTGACCACGATCAACCAGGAGAAGAACTGGCGCCCCTTGGCGAAAGCGGCGGCGTACTTCGGGTGCAAGCCGCAGAAGGAGGTAGAGGGCAAACGGCAGTGCGCGACGCTCTTTTGGAAGTTCAAGGCGGACACGAAGATTGGCAAGATTATCTGCGATTGCTGCGAGCCGCAAGTGATCCTCGAATGGGTGGGGAGTACCTCCCAGCCCAGCAGCCGCGGGGCCCATTCTAGCGCGGAATCTCGAAGTTCCTGGCGCTCGACGGCAAGCAAAAGTCATGATGCAGTCGGCTCGGTTCCAGCAGCTGATGGCTCGAGGTATCAAGCCAGCGGACGCCCTCCTGCGGGCGGCGAGCCAATCCACCGGCGCGGTTCATACTTCTTCTAACCCAGCGATGCCAGCGGCCGCTCTAGCGCATGTCGCGCCGAAGCCGCCACCGAGGAAGGGGTGCGGGGTCGCGGTCCTACGGGTGGATCGGGGAGGGGGACCTGAAACGATCTTGGTACCTGCGCCGTGCGTGCCAACCCCTCCGGGGGTCGCGCGCCCGTGCGGGCGTTGGCCTGGCCAGTGCTGCATCGGCAGAGTGCAGCTCGGCCGGACTTGCACCGTCCTTACCACATGGGTCTCCGCAGAAGCCACCTCAGAGAAGCCTTGCTGTTCAGCCCTGCACTGCTTCGCTCTGTCCGCATGGCAGTGGCACTGTCTCGGCGGATGCTGGCTCCCCAGAGCTCACTCCGATCAGGCCCCCCGTAACTTGGCGTGGTGGACGTGCTCCTGGCCCCGATCCCACTCTCCTGTCCTGGGGGCAGCTCTGCCTGGGGCGGGCGCAGGAGCCTCCCGGCCCGGGGGCCCCTCTGGGGCTCCCGTCGGCTATACGCAAGAGTGACCCTGGGTAGGAGTGACCTTTGGTGCGCGGCTTTTTGGGGGCCGCGGGGGGACCAAACCCGGGCGCGCAAGCAGCTGCCGCTGCTTCGTTCTCAGCCATCTGGGGACCCATCTGTGCCCGCACCAAAGGTCACTCCGGCGAGGGGTCACTCTTACGTCTAGTCGACCCCGTAGTTACTCCCTGCTCCGTGCCGCACGACGACCTGGCTCTGCAGGGTGGCACCAGGCCTCCCGGCCAGCAGCGAACTCTGCCTCTCTGCCAGGCCTCCCCTGTGGTGAGAAGCGGAAGCGCACTACGACGCGAACGTGATGCAGGCGTGCACACATGTGATGCTGTTGGTTCTTTATCGTCGCCGTCGCAATCAAGCACCCCGACGTTGTGCGCCGGACCGTGTGCATTCTTGTCTGTAGCTCTGTGTGCCTGGCTTGAGCACCAGCCTAAAGCTTCTGACTGCGAAGTCGGCTCCCTGAACAACACGACTGGGCCCTTCCCCCCCACACCTCTCCTCCTCCTCCTCCTCCTCCTCCTCCTCCTCCTCCTCCTCCTCCTCCTCATCCCGCGCGCGCGCGCGCGCCCCTCGCAGTCCTCGGTCCCGCCGCGTGCGGGCGACCTGCGCCCCCCTGGAGGAACATCCGTGGCCCGGCTCGCAGCCCTGGCAGGGGGGCCTGCCTCGCCGGAGGCGGGAGGGGGGCCGCCTGCCTCCCCCTGGGGGGGGGGCAGCATCTCTCCTCCTGCCTCCCCCTGTCCCCTCCCCTCCCTGGACGACGAAGACACGGCATCAACCTAATTTCTCGGCGCTCCGCCCAGAATTCCTCAGACCCGCGCCGGAGGCGCCGCCAGGGGGGCCCAGGCGCGGATGCAAGAAATAGGAGGCAACATCTCTCCTCCTCCCTCCCCCTTTCCTCTCCCCCCGTCCCTCCCCAGACCCCCGACGTCGCGATTTTTCCGCAGCGTCCGCCCCCAGCGGTCAGGACCCCCTTCCCCGGGACTGGTTTCTCATCCCGAGTCGCTTCTGGACGGCCCCGAGGCCCGGGAAGGGCCCGCGGAGGCCGAAACTAGCGAGAAACCTCCCGTCGTGATTCTTTCAACAACCCGAAGGGGTCTGGGTCTCTTTCCCCCCCGTACTCCCTCCTCCCTCACTCCCTCCCTCCGCTGGGGCCGGGGCACGACATGTAGCCGCAGCTCGGGCAGTTCCAGTCACCCGGCCGCGTGCCGCCCTTCCCGCCGCAGCCCTTGCCGCCTCCGCGGAGCAGGGGCGTTGTCGTCGTCGTCGTCGTCGTCGTCGTCGTCGTCGTCGTCGCCGCCGCCGCCGCCGCCGTCGTCGTCGTCGTCGTCGTCGTCGTCGTCGTCGTCGTCGTCGTCGTCGTCGTCGTTATCGTCGGCGTCCGAGCAGGAGGAAGACGAGAAAGCAAAATGAGGGACGAGGAGGATGATGAGGGAATGGGACCAGGATGGAGCGGGGAGGTTTGACGGTGGCACAGAGAGGGGACAAAGGGGGGAAGACAAGCTAGGTGCGCTCGCGTCATATCTGACATCCTACCCCTTCCTCCCATCCCTTACCATGGCGCAGATCCCCTCTCTACTCGCTCAGTCGGATGTCGAGCAGGGCAATGATCCCGAAAGGGTACGCGATGCATTGTAGAGCACGGCATGGCATGGCGTAGAAGAGCACCGCAAAGCGTAGTATCAATCTAGCATTGCATTGCATGTCGTGGCATGGCACGGGAAATGACGCCAGCGCTGCAGCGGGAGCACGAGTCGAAACGAGCGGAAGCGCGGAAATGAGGCCAGCGCTGCAGCGGGAGCACGATTCGGAACGAGCGGAAGCATGGAAATGAGGCCAGCGCTGCAGCGGGAGCACGATTCGGAACGAGCAGGGCCCGAACATGAGGTCGGCGCCTCAGCGAGAGCAGCATTTTGAAAAAAATGCAGGCGAAAACCCAACTTCGGGGAAACCTGTGTGTAAAAAAACAATACGCGGGGGGGGGATCGGCCACTTTTAAACCGTCATCAGGGGAAGAGGGAGAGTAGTATTCAAATTGAGTAATTGTGTACGTGGAGAAGTCTGGCGCATCCCGTAAGAAGGGAGACGAGCAGGAGGAAAACAAGCAGGCGGTTGATGCAAAGGAGGAGCAGGAGGACATAGATGAGGAGGAATTGGAAGAAGAGGGGGGCAAGAAGAGAAGGGAGGAGGAGATGAATCAGGACCATACGCATGATGATGTGGATGATGAAGAAGGTGGTAATGGTTACGTCTAGGATCATGCTAATCAGATGGAGTAGCAGAGCAGCAGGCAGCACGAAGAGAGGAGGAGGAGGTGACTGGGTGTGGAAAGAGCGAGGGTGAAGAGGAAAGACGATAAAGAGGAGCCATATCAGAAGGAGGACGACGAGCCGAGACATATGAGAGGATGAAGTAATGCGGATAACGAGGAGGTCGAGACAGGAGGAGAGGAAGAGGAGGTAGAGCGACGTGAGAAAAATAAGGATGAGGTGGAGGATGAGGGGAAAGAACAGGTGGAGCAGCAGGAGGAAGCGGATGAGCAGGAGGAACAGAAGCAGCAGAGGGAAAGCGAAGAGGCTTACGGCCTGTCCACCGCCTAGATGCCCTGGCCTGGTTCGATGAACATGGCTCTGTCCACTGCTCGCTCGGCCCCTCCCTCCGTGCCGTGACCACCATTCCCCCGTTCTCCTCGCCTTCCATCTCTGAAACACTGAAACACTGAAGAGATGAAGCCGTGCATGCACAACAGCACCTAAGTGATAGCATTGCCGTTGAAAGGCGGCATTGCTCCCCCCCCCCATTTACCCCTCCCCCCGAGTCTCCGTCGTGCTCGCTCGGCCAGCGGGCCCAGCAGCTCCGTGCAGGCATTCGGAGGTGAGGAGGAGAGATGGCGGCAATTCTACGCTCTCTGGGCGACTGCCCCTTTGCTTCCACTTCTCCTTCGCCCGGTGGCGACCCGTGGGGCGGGCCAGGCGCCCTGGCAGAGAGTAGGCGGCCACCGGGTGCCGCTCGCCACCCTCTCCGGGGCGGCTCTGGGGAGGGCTGGAGGGGCCTCCTGCTCCTCCTCCTCCTCCTGCTCCTCCTGCTCCTCCTGTTCCTCCTCCTCCTCCTCCTCCTCCTCCTCCTCCTCTCAGCCTTACCGTTATTAGTATCGGTTCGTCCTCCTCGTCCTCCTCGTCCTCGTCCTCGTCCTCGTCCTCGTCCTCGTCCTCGTCCTCGTCCTCGTCCTCCTCCTCCTCCTCCTCCTCCTCCTCCTCCTCCTCCTCCTCACCGTTGGGTCGTATCGGCTCCTGCTCTGCCGCCGAGCCGGCCGATAGCCAGCCAGAGCGCGGGGAATTTCATCTGACGTAAAAACAACCGTGCAACGTCGACACTATTACAAAGCTGACATTATGTCTCATGTCCTCCTCCTCCTCCTCCTCCACCTCCTCCTGCTCATCTCATCATTGCTGTTTACGCGAGTCGACTCCTACTCTGCCGCCGAGCCCGCCGATAGCCAGCCAACGCGGGGATTTCCGTCTTACGTCTTTTAAGAGATACGACGTCTGTCCATCGCTCGGACGTCCATTCCCTGTGTTTTTTTCCGGTTTCGTGCGTGGTGTTTTCGCCAAGTGATCAAGGATGCTCCTCGATGGCCCTCGCCAAAGGAAACATGCACATGTCCGAGCGACGCCAAGACGTCGACATCACTGCAACATGGACAGTTGCGTCGTCCACGTTGCAGCGCGCATCCCGTGCGACAAAAGGGCGAGATGTGGCCTGCGCCTCGGCGCCGCGCCCCTTTTATCTAGACGCTTCTCTTCTCGCTGGGGCGCGGCGCATACATGCTTCGCACGCTGCGTCGACGCGCGCGCGGGCGAGCATGCAGCTGTCGCCTCGGCGCCGCGCACACATTTCGCCGGAAGGTGCCGGTCGACGCGGCGCTCGTGCTTCGCTCGCGAAGTGTGTGGGCCCCGCGCGGGGGCGGGCGACTGGTCGCCCTCGCCCAAAAAGGTCCGTGCGCACGTCGCTCAGAGAAGGGCGCTCCCGCGCGGGCGCGGCGCGTGGCTCGCTCGCCGAACCGCATGCAGCCGGCAGCGGCACATGGGCTTCGCGAGAACTGGAGCAATCTTGACCTCGCACAAGCGCCTGCGAATGAAGGTCAGTGCCGAGTCGGGCGCGGCGCATGCTTCGTCATCGCCGCGCTCAGCGGAAGCTTTGCCGCTCCCGCCTCTGCGCGGCCCGCGCCGTTTCTTCTTCGCCATGTCGTTGGAAGCGGAACCGTGCGCGAGCGCCTTCCGTTCGCCAGGCGGGAACGCGTTCGGCTCCCGACATCAAGTTGCCCCACATTTGATTCTGAGCTTATTGGAAGGTAGGAATGGGCGTTGCCCTCAGACTCCCTCGACTTGGCTAACTAGACTACTCCTCGACGTCTTCCTCCTCCTCCTCCTCCTCCTCCTCCTCCTCCTCCTCCTCCTCTTCACTCCTCCTCTTGCTCCTTCTCTTACTCCCCCTCGCCTCTCCTTCTCTGTAGGTAACGGCCCTCCTTCCCCCGCCTGCCCTCCCGTTGCCCCCCTCTTCCGTGTGTTCCCCCGCCCGTTCGCAGCGCACTGCCCGGGTGCGTTGCCCTGCCCGAGGGAAGAGATGCCCAGGCCGCCCTTCTCGTCCTTCTCGTCCTTCTCGTCCCCTCCCCCCCCTCCCCCCCCCCCCCACTCCTCCTCCTCCTCCTCCTCCTCCTCCTCCTCACTCCTCTCCTCCTCCTCCTCCTCCTCCTTTTCCTCCTCCTCCTCCTCCTCCTCGTCCTCCTCCTCCTCCTCCTCCTCCTGGGGGGGACTCCTGGGGGGAGAGGCGGCGAAGGAGGGCAAGGAGGACGAGATGGACGATACGAGGCACGTCAGTGCCGCAACGAAAAAGCACGCGTGCGCATACAGTGCACGCGAATCCGCTCCTAGCCGCCAAAATCGTCACCCTCGTCCTCCTCCTCCTCCTCCTCCTCCTCCTCCTCCTCCTCCTCGCCCCACCAAGTCGTCCGCCTCCCCCTCCTCTTCATTATTTCCCTCTCCTTCGCCTAATCCTCCTCCTCTTCCTCCTTCTCCTCCTCCTCTCATGTCTTGATGACCCGGAAGCTTGAGCTTTGCAAGAACTTCGCGGATGGAAGGCGGGCCGTTTTCAAAATGTGGCTTTGCCCTTAGCGCCGCGCGCATTGGTCATGCACATTTGCAGGAGCTTCACAGATGGAGGGCGGTCCGTTTTCAACATGTGGCTCTCGCCTTTGCGCCGCGCGCGATCGTCTTAAACATTTGCAAGAGCTTCACGGATGGATAGCGTTTTTTTTATGTGGCTCTCCCCTCAGTGCCGCGCACATGTGTCTTTCCTCTTCCTCCTCCTCCTCCTCTTTCTCCTATCTTCCTCATCCCTAACCGTCCTCCTCCTCCTCCTCCTCCTCCTCCTCATTCCCCTCCTCCTTTCCCTCCCTCTGGTCCTTCTCCTCCTCTACCTCCTTCACCCCTCCTCCTCATCATTCTTATCCTTGCCCTCCTCATCTTCCTCCTGATTCCGACCCTCCTCCTCATTCCCCTCTTCCTCCTCCTCCTCCTCCTCCTCCTCCTGCTCCTCCTCCTCCTCCTCCTCCTCCTCCTCCATTCCTTTTTCCTGATTATTGTCGCACCCCGCGACGTGTCAGTAGGGCGGGCCGGGCGCTTCTCCCGAGAACTCCTCACATTTTCGATCCATCAACTTGAGAGTTGGAAGAACTTCCCGGATGGAGGGCGGGCCGTTTTCAACATGTGGTTTTCGCCCTAGCGCCGCGCGCACTCGTCTTCAAAATTTGCCAGAGCTTCACGGATGGAGGGCGGGCCGTGCACAACACGTGTCTGTCGCCCCATCGCCGCGCACATTCGTGTTGAAAGGCTTCAAGGGTGGAGGGCGGCCCGTTTTCAAAATGTGGCTCTCGCCTGAGCGCCGCGCGCATTCGTCTTAAAAGCTTGCCAGCATTTCACGGATGGAGGGCGGTTCCCTGTTCAACAAGTGACTCTCGCCTTAGCGCCGAATCCGTTCGTCTTATAAAAGCTGAAACCAGTTTCACAGATTCTTTATGGCTGACGTCCCAGAATTGGTCCTTTGGCACGATGTAGGACTGTCAGGGCGCAACCGTCAGGTCGATTCGCGGTGTTGAAATCCCAGGAAGAGCTGTCTGGCACGATTCAGGATCGTCAGGACGCAACGGTAACGTGGATTCGCGGCGTGCAAGTCCCAGGAACTGTTTTGTTGCAGGGTTCGAAAATCTTACACGCTTGTCTTCCAACCGGGCACCTCCCCCAGTGAAAACAAATCCGTGCAGGGACCTGCTGAGGAGGGAACTTTGAAGGTTTCGATTGTAGAACCGTTGCTGAGTCTTGGGTTTGCAATCCTCCTCCTCCTCTTCTTCCTCCTGGTCCTCCTCCTCCTCCGTCATGCTCTTTTCTCGCCCCGCCCCCACACCCCAGACCCCCGACGTCGTGTTTTTGCTGATAACGTCTTTCCTCCTGAGCCGTTTCTTGGACGGCCCCGCCGCCCGGGAAGGGCCCCTGGAGGCTGAACAAAAAGCAACCTCCCGTCGTAATTTTTCACCACTCGAGGGGGTATGGGACGCTCTCCCTGTTCCTCGCCTTCGCCCTCCCCGATCCACCTCCTCTCCCGTGCCCGCACCTCCCTCCTCATCCTCCTCCTCCTCCTCCTCCTCCTCCTCCTCCTCCTCCTCCTCCTCCTGCTCCTCCACCTCCTGCTCCTCCTCCTCCTGGTCCTC